CAGCTCACCATCCTGCTCGCCCTGCACCTGCTCCTCCAGCCCTCCACCACACTACCCACTCCCAAGCCCCATGCCCCATGCTCTCACCCTTCTGCCGTCCCAGCCAGCTGCTCGCCCTACACATGCTCCTCTGACCTCCACCACAATACACACTACCCACTCCCAAGCCTCATGCTCCATGCTCTCACCCCTCTGCTGCCCCAACCAGCAGCTAGGAGACTTTTGAGTCGACTCAAAACCGACTCGCAAGCCCCATGCTCCATGCTCTCACCCCTCTGCTGCCCCAGCCAGCAGCTAGGAGACTTTTGAGTCGACTCAAAACCGACTCGCAAGCCCCATGCTCCATGCTCTCACCCCTCTGCCGCACCAGCCAGCACCTCGCCACCACAGCAGGGGTGCCATTGCCACCATGCCACGGCAGGGCATCCTGTACCCCCACCATTGCCCCTCACTCCATGGTGACTCGTGAGTCGAATCAAAAGGCAGGGCATCCAGTACCCCCACCATTGCCCCTCTTTTGAGGCGCCTCAAAAGTTTTGAGGCGCCTCAAACATGGGCACCATGCCACGGCAGGGCATCCTGTACCCCCACCATCATCCCTCACTCCATTCACCCTGAGGTTTCATCCCCCCTTTCTCCTCACCCTGTCACTCCACTTACCCTGGGAGATTTAGGCCCCCACTAGTGCTCCTAAATCAACTCACCCTGAGGCTTCAGCCCCCCTTTCTCTTCGCTCTCTCACTCCACTTACCGTGGGGGATTCAGGCCCCCACCATTGCCCATCATTCAACCCACTCTGGAATTTCAACTCTCCTTTCTCCTCGCCCTCTCACTCAACTAACCCTAGAGGATTCAGGCCCCCACCATTGCCCCTCACTCAACCCACCCTTGTATTTCAACTCTCCTTTATCCCCGACCTATCACTCCACTTACCGGGGAATTCAGGCCCCCACCATGGCCCCTCACTCAACTCAACCAGGGGTTTTAACCACTTACCCTGGGAAATTCAGGCCCACACCATTGCCCTTCTCTCAACTGGGGTTTCAATCCCCACTCACCAACCAAGGGGTTTCAACCCCCACTCACCAACCAAGGGGTTTCAACCCCCACTCACCAACCAAGGGGTTTCAACCCCCACTCACCAACCAAGGGGTTTCAACCCCCACTCACCCACCCAAGGGGTTTCAGGCCCCTTCTCACTCACCCACCCACCCAACCCATCTCACCTTCACCTGCCAGCAGTAGGAGCAGCAGAGAGCTCACTTCCTCAAGGAAACAACACCCCCAGAGGCGGTGTCTTGTGGGGCGAGGTTGTCAGAACATTATAGCTTACTTATTTGTGTAGGCTATAGTGGGGTATCCCATAGGGGGTACAACCCAATTAGGGTTTCATATTTGTACTCACTTCATTCATAGTTCATCCATTCTCGTTCTTTCTTTCACATGGAATCAGAGCAGCTTCCCTCCTAGGGACTGCTTCTAGGGCCCACCGAAGCGCGCCCCGAGGCGCGTTCTCCTTTTTTTTTTTCGCGACCCGTTGTGTCGCCCCCAGCGGCCCGTCGCGCCGCCCTTCCCTTAGCGGCCCCGCCGCCCTTCGATCGCGGCTCCGCCGCGCTTCCTTAGCGGCCCCGCCGCCCTTCGATCGCGGCCCCGCCGCCCTTCGATCGCGGCTCCGCCGCCCTTCCTTAGCGGCCAGGCCGCCCTCTGCTAAGCGGCCCCGCCGCCCTTCGATCGCGGCCCCGCCGCCCTCTGCTAAGCGGCCCCGCCGCCCTTCGATCGCGGCCCCGCCGCCCTCTGCTAAGCGGCCCCGCCGCCCTCTGCTAAGCGGCCCCGCCGCCTTGCTCACGCGGCCCCGCCGCCCTCTGCTACGCGGCCTCGCCGCCGCGTCGCCCGTGCACCTGCCCGTGCACTCGCTCGTGCACCTACCCGTGCGGCCGCCAGTGCAGCCGCCCGTGCGCAGCCTACGAGCCGCCCCAGCCGCCCGTGCAGCCGCCCGTGCATCGCCCGTGAGCCGCCCCAACCGCCCGTGCAGCCGCCCGCGAGCCGTCCCAGCCGCCCGTGCGGCCGCCCGCGAGACGCCCGCGCCGCCCGAGCCGCCCGAGCCGCCCGCGAGACGCCCGCGCCGCCCGAGCCGCCCGCGAGACGCCCGCGCCGCCCGAGCCGCCCGAGCCGCCCGCGAGACGCCCGCGCCGCCCGAGCCGCCCGTGCCGCCCGTGCCGCCCGAGGAGCCGATCTTCTGCTCCTGTGAGGCTCCTACTGCTCCTGGGCCGGCGCAGCTGCTGTACTGCCGTGTTGCTGTGTCGCTGTGCTACCCGACTCTTCCTGCCCGGTGAGACTGTCAGCTGCTACAATGGCCACCCCTAGTGTCCTGAATTTTGACGCTGAGGGTCGCGCCATTGACTTTGCGGTCTGGATTGAGGACCTGCAGCTGTACTTACTGTGCGATGCAATCGATGAGGTTTCTCTCTTTGACTTTGTCTCTGGCGCTGTTCCTGCCCCTCTTGCTGATGCTGACCCCACTGTTCGCTCCAAGTGGGCCACACGCGATGCTGCTGCACGTCTTGCTGTGCGTCGCCACCTCCCTTCCTCCGAGCGTGCACACTTTAGTCAGTGCAAGACCGCTCAGGCCTTGTACGACGCTGTAGTTGCGCGCCACTCCTCCCCTTCCACTGCTACACTGAGCCGCCTCATGCTACCGTACCTCTTCCCTGACCTTGCTGCCTTTCCCACAGTCACTGACCTCTTTACCCACCTTCGCGCTAGTGACACTCGCTACCGAGCTGCGCTTCCTGCTGCCTTCCTCGCCGAAAACCCCCCTCCCATGTACATCACCCTCTACTTTCTAGTCACCCGTCTCCCTGAGTCCCTTCGTGCTATTATGGACCAGTTTCTCTCTGTCTATCCCACCACCCTTACTGTCGACCTCCTTGAGAAGTCCCTGCTAGCGGCCGAGAAGAGCATAGTCGCTGTAGGGGCCTCTCGTGGTGACCCGCGCACCCCCATCTTTGAGGGGTGTTCTCCTTCCCCCCTGCTACCCTCTGTCGCCTCTGCTGCTGCGGCCGACCTCGTTGGTTTAGAGTCGGTCGGTGCGGCGTCTGCCCCCAGCGGTAGGAGCCGCTCTGGCAGGAGCAAGGGGGGCAAGGGAGCGGGTGGAGCTAGCGGGGGCGGTGGCGGAGGAGGTGGGGGCGGCGGGGGGAGTGGGGGTGGCGGTGGGGGTGGAGGCGGGAGTGGAGGTACTGGTGGCGGCGGTGGAGGCGGAGGTGGCGGCGGAGGTGGTGGCGGAGGAGGCAGTGGGAGCGGCGGGGGCGAGGGTGGCGGTGGCGGCGGTGGCGGCGGAGGCGGGGGTGGCGGTGGTGGAGGTGGTCGGGGTGGCTCGTCCCAGAGGAGCGGCACTGGGGGTGGTCAGCGCCAGCAGCAGCAGCAGCAGCATCAGCAGCAGCACTCTCGCGACGTCCCCGCCCCTCAGCGGCTCCGTGAGTGGTACTCGCAGCGTCAGCGTGGTGGGGCGTTCGGTCCCTGCACCTACGTCCTTCGCACCGGCGACCGCGCGGGTGAGCAGTGTGGGGGCACCCACACCGCTCGCCGCTGCTTTGCCCGCCTGACCGACGCTTGGCGCCAGCAGTTTCCGGAAGCCTCTGAGATCCCCCGCTGGGGAGAGCTGTCTAGGGCTGGTGTAGCTGTGTTTGATCTTGACTTTGATGCTATCCTTGCTGCCATGTATGCTGTGACTGTTAGTGATGATGGTGACTGTTACCGGTGCTTTCCGCCCGACCCGGGCATTGGTACTGCTGTGTCAGGTGCCAGTGAGGCTGCTGCTCTAGGTGCCAGTGCGTCTGTGCTCTCAGGTGCTAGTGAGTCTGCCCTCTCAGGTACTGTGTCGGCTTCTGCCTCCCACACCTTCACCCTTGACTATGGGGCGTCTCGCTTCTTCTTTCGGGACCGCACCACTCTCACGCCGCTTAGTCGGCCGGTTGCGGTGTCCCTGGCTGACCCCTCTGGGGGTCCTGTCCTGTCTCGTTTCTCCACAGTCCTCCCGTGTCCGGCGGCTCTCTCTGGCACCCTGACTGGTCTTTACCTCCCCTCGTTCTCTACGAACTTGGTGAGTGGTGCTGACCTACAGGATGTGGGGGTCCACCAGTTCACTCCTACTCGTCAGCGGGTGACACACTGCACAGAGGCTAGCACAGGTCGCCACCTGGCTACGTTTACACGTCAGCCAGGGTCGAGCCTGTACACACTGACCACTGCTTCTCCTCCCGGTGCTGAGTCTGGTAGGGTCGCTTCGTCTGGTCAGGTGTGTGCTGCAGCGTCCAGCTCTGGTCCTGAGTCTGCCCCCTGTTCGTGTCGCCGTCTATCTCACGAGACTCTCCTCTGGCACCACCGCCTTGGCCACCCCTCTCTGCTTCGGCTCAGAGGCATGGCCTCCCGTCTTCTTGTGTCTGGTCTCCCCCGGTCCCTCCCTCCCCTTCCTCAGGGCCCTGGCCCTGCCTGTGTCCCCTGTGTCGAGGGGCGCCAGCGTGCTGCCCCTCACTCCTCCCAGTTTCCTCCGACAGAGGCCCCGTTGCAGACGCTTCACATGGACGTGTGGGGCCCTGCCCGCGTCCGTGGACTCGGTCACGAGCGCTACTTCCTGTTGGTGGTTGACGACTACTCGCGTTACACCACAGTCTTCCCCTCGCGCAGCAAGGGTGATGTCACTGAGGTGCTGATCGACTGGATCCGCGCAGCTCGTCTCCGGCTCAGGCAGAGCTTTGGCTCGGACTTTCCTGTGTTGCGTCTGCACTCGGACAGAGGCGGAGAGTTCTCCTCTGGCCTTCTGCGTGCTTTCTGTCGTGCGCGAGGCATCCGCCAGACCTTCACGCTTCCGGACTCACCGCAGCAAAATGGGATTGCAGAGCGCCGCATTGGCATGGTCATGGACGTCGCTCGTACGTCCATGATGCATGCGACTGCCCCCCATTTTCTGTGCCCGTTTGCGGTCAGGTACGCGGCGCATCAGATCAACCTCCACCCCAGGGTCTCCAGGCCTCCATGAAGAGGTCCAACACGTGGGTGGCGCATGGCACGTGTTGAATGTGCGGCCATTCTGCGATCAGCTCGTTGCACGCCACCGCGTAGTTGGAACCACCGTCCGTGCAGAACGCCACCACGTTATCGGAACCGACCTCCTCCACCACGGGCCTGAGGATGTTGGCGACATAACCGCCGGTTTTGGTCTCCATGCGACAGTCCACGCTATCCTTGAACACCGCACCGCTCTTGTTAACGAGAAACACATTCGCCTGGGGGCGACCGTTCTTATCAGTTATCATATCAGAAGAAATTGTCACGCCGGTCCGCTTCCAGCTCGCCTTCACTCCAGAAAGCCCTCTGTCGATGTTCTCGCAACAAAGTCGCAAGCCCGCCCCGCCGATGAACGTCCTCGTCGGGGGGACGTATCCTGTGCCGAAGTCCCTAATGGCACAAACGGCGTTGATGAAGAGAGGGTGCGCCGCCACGCGCTCCGGGATTCGACACGCCGCGAACATCAGCGCCAACGCCTCGTGTGCATCGCGCTTCGCAGCTGCCGCATCCGTCTCCAAGTTGTTAGTAATGCGGCTCCTCTTTCCGCCGCTGGTGACCGACGCAATGGCATCCGATGTCGCCTGGCGGCGCTGATTCGCCGCTGCAGCCTTAGCCTCATACTTCTTCCGGATGGCAGCCCGTACTTCAGAGGGGGCTTCCTTGCATAGCGCGACTTCGCGGCGCCTCATCTTCCTCCAACTCGCCAAGTGCTGCGCGCAGCGGGTGGCGGCGCCAGAAAAGACATTGCAGCAGTGCCTGCATTCGTATTGCTGCGATTTCCCCTCGTCCACCTTTATGCGGCGGAAATGCTTGAACACCTCGTGGTCGACATCGGGAAGGTAAACTCGCGCCGACTGAACAGGACTGTCCGTGCTGGTATTAGGAGGGGGAGTGGACGGGGTCGGGCTAACATTTGCATAAGACATTCTAAAAAGGTCTGTGAAGGTACACGGGAGGATGCATTGACGAGAGAGAACAATACCTGATTGTGAAGTAGCGTGGGATGGAGTGGTGGGGAGAAGTTGAATTGGAGGGAGTTTGTAGGTCGAGAGCGGTACAAATTGGTGGAACTCCAATGTGGAATGTCAAGGACATCGCGATTCCAAACATTGGAGCCACGTAACCCAACTCACAGTCGCGGGACCGCGAATTGAAAGCACGGAAACCAACTCACCTCCATACATTGAAGCCACGTCCAGGCCAGGGTAGATCTCGGACGTGCATTTCGAGCACAGCATCTTCTTCGCCGTGAGAAGACGAAACTTTTCAGATATACAATTTTTTTTCGATTTTGGGCTGCCCTGAAAAAAACCCCCGAGCGTATTGCGTATTCGTTAGCGTATAGCGTTTTGCGTGTATACGTAAGCGGATAAACGCTAAACGCTTAAAGGCAAAAGCGTATTTTGCCACTTAGGACACAACCCCAGGGGATGCTTTCCTTAAGGCAGTGAACTCCCCGCTTGCTCCCATGCTCCCCACCCACCCACCCCACACTTCACCCCCATGCCTCCTTACCTCTACTTACCTGTACTTACCTGAGCCGTGCAGAGCGCCATGGTGCTGAGGCTGCTGGGAAGGAGGGGGGGGGATTAGGAGGGGGGGTGATTAGGAGGGGGGGGCGACTTCTCTGTAATCCAGGCAGGGTGCTGCTGGGAGGGAAGGGAGGGAGAAGGGAGAGAGGGGGAGGTGAGTGAGAGGGTGGACTTCATTCTCCCGTCCTTGCTACAGTGCTCCCACCTTCAGCCTGCAGGGGAGAAGAGGGTGAAGAGAGAGAGGAGGGAATCAGATCACCATACCTCACCTGGTACCATACAAAACCTTTTACCACACCTTGCTCACACCATGCCTGGCCTAAACTCCTACCTAGCCCCCCACCCCCCACTGCTTCTGCTGCTGCAACTGCTGCTGCCGGTATGCTACTCTGCTTCTCTGCTGCACTCTTCTCTTGATGCCAAGTGACCTGGTGGCGGGAAGAAAAAGGGGAGGGGGACAGGAGAGAAAGAGCAGGAGGTTAGTGATGTGACGTGAGCAGAGACACTAAAGTCAACAGAAAAACGCATAACCTGACTAAGACAACAAGAGCTAAGTGCAGAGAGAACTGCAGCAACAAATGCACTTGAAGGAGGGAGGTAACGCACCTTGAGAGGCCAAGCCCATCCCCATACTCTCCCTTGCTGCAGTGGGATTGCCATGCTGCAGTGCTGCCTCCCTCCCTCCCGTCCCCACGAGTCCCTGCACGGCCACAGGGGAGGGGCGTTGGGAAGCGTCGGTGTTGACCCCAGCGCCCCTCCCCTCCACCTGCAACACGCACACACAGAGCTAGTCAGAGCGCGGTGGTGGGAGCAAGTTGAATGGGAAACTGTGACTTGAAGTTCAGCACAAGGGAAGGGAGGAGGAGCCCTTGGTTGAGGCACGGCCACAAGCTGCAGATCTAAGGGCACCTGAAAAAGAACCTGAGGGGTAAACCTACACCTGAAGGGGGGACCTGCACCTGAGAGGGTTATCTGCACCTGAGGAGATACCTGAGGAGAGGGGGTCTGAGGCATGTAAACCGAGCTCAACCAGTGGCATTGTTTCAGAGGGAGGGGCGAAAGCACAACTGGCAAAGGAACTGGAAGCAAGAAAGCAACAAGCCATGATGTGGCGGGCCAGGGTGAGGGCATGGAAGTGGGTAAATTAGCTGATAGTGTGAGGGCGAGCTCAAGGCAGCTGCAGCACCACCAGCTGCCTCCCTCCGCAGCAGCCCTCCTACAGGTGCCTCCTCCCTGCACGGCCACAGGGGAGGGGCGAGAGGAAGCGTCGGTGTTGACCCCGCACCCCTTTCCGCCACCTGCAATGAGCACACACAGGGCTAGTCAGAGCGCGGTGGTGGGAGCAAGTTGAATGGGAAACTGTGACTTGAATTTCAGCACAAGGGAAGGGAGGAGGAGCCCCTGGTGGAGGCACGGCCACAAAGCTACAGACCCAAGGGCACCTGAAAAGAACCTGAGGGGTGTACCTGCACCTGAAGGGGTTACCTGTACCTGAGGGAATCACCTGAAGCAGGGGGGTCTGTAGCATGTGAGCAGTACTCAACCAATGGCATTGTTTCAAGTGGACGGTGGAACAGCAGATGAAACGAAAGAGACGGTATGGCAGGCAAGGGTGCGGGCATGGGGGGACTGGTACTTAGCTGATTGTGTGGTGCAGGCAGAAGGGATAGGTGCTTAAATGGCGAGTGGGCAGGGCGAGCGAGGCTTGAAGGGACGGACCTGCGAGGCAGAGGAGAAGGGAGAGAGAGAAAGAGATAAAGTAAGAGGCAGGTGGGAGGGAGTGACTTTTTTAAAGGAGAAGACAGGCAGCAGTGCGAGTGCAACATGACGGTGCGCGTGACGCCAACCACAACCCCACAAGAGCCGCTACCAACCTGAACCTGCACCTGAACCTGAACCTGAGGGGGAGTGGGCTCGAGTGGGGTGTGGTGGCAGGGGCGATACTGCAACCTCAACCGTTGATGAGGCCGGTGCTGCTGCCCTGCTGCCCGCGCTCCTGCTGCCCGCCTCGCCTGCTGCTCGCCTGCTGCACTCCCCTGGCTTGTGAAGGCCTGGCAGGGAAGGGATGGGAGGGAGGGCAGGGCGGAAAAGAAAGGCAGCCGAAAGTAAGGGGTTGCAAAGGAGAAAAGTGTCAAACACAGGTGCAACAGCAGAAACGACAGTGCATCTATGATGCGAAAGACGCTCAGAGGACGCTGCGTCCTGCGTCTGGACGCAGCGTCTGGACGCTAGGACGCAAGACGCGCGTCCAGACGCAGGACGCAGATCGAAATTTTTTCGGGCTGCCCCGAATTTTTTTTTTTTTTTCGAGATTACGAATTTCAATCTCGCGATTTCGACGCGAGTGTCGAAATCGCGAAATTTTGACCCCCCATTGCCCAATTCGACATTGAAAAACAGCCCCCCCCCACCATTTCATAACCCCCCATGCAACAATTGAATTCCAAATACCTCTCAACCACTTCACATCTAGAAAACCCAACCAAGGTGCCTACCACCAAGCCCATTTAGCAATCCAACCAAGTCATTTCTCATTTCACCCACCCAACCAATTCTCTTTCGAAAACCCTAGAGGTTTTAGCCTACAAGCATAGCTTAGCTCCATTATGGCTTCCTCAAGCAACCCTACGTCATCTAACGCATCTAAGTGTGGAACGTTCCCCCCACCCCCCCCTCATCCCATGCCCTATAACAAGTTTTTTTGCCTGCCCGGGGGGTTTTTTTGCCTGCCCGTGACTGCGTCTTTTGGTGCGTCTTTCTGGTCCTGGTGAAGCGTCCTGCGTCCGGACGCATGCGTCTGGACGCATGCGTCCAGGACGCAGGACGCGTCTTTCGCATCATAGCAGTGCATGTGACGCCAACCACAACTCCACAAGAGCCGCTACCAACCTGAACCTGAACCTGCACCTGAACTTGAACCTGAGGGGGAGTGGGCTCGAGTGGAGTGTGGTGGCAGGGGCGATACTGCAACCTCAACCGTTGATGAGGCCGGCGCTGCTGCCCCGCTGCCCGCGCTCCTGCTGCCCGCCCTGGTGCTCCCCTCGCCTGCTGCCCTCCCTCTTGCCTTGGGCTCGCCTGGCAGGGAAGGGATGGGAGCGCGGAGGGGAGGGCAGCGAGGGGAGGGCCGTGAGGAACGAGGTGAAGGCAGCGGGGGAGGTGGGAGCGAGAGTGAGATGGGGAATGGACAGTGCAGCGTGCGAGACGGCAGGAACAACCTTCAAGGCAAGGGGGGGGGCACTGGAGGAGCACATCCACAAGCCACAGACCCCCAGGGGAACCTGAGGAGGCTGTAAGGCTTTAGGGGGCTGAACCTGTACCAGATGGGCTTACCTGCAATTGGGGGTGGGGGTCTGTTGCTTGTGAGGCGGGCCCCAACCAGTGGCAATGATTTCAGGGAGAAACGGCGAGCAGCAACGGTGGGCAGCAAGCGAGGGAGAATGGAGGGAGGAGAAGGCACTTGGCTGGCGGTTGAAGAAGCAGCGAGAGCTGATGCCGCTGCTGCTCACCCTCACGTCAACGGGACGCACAGCCGTGCGACCATTTCGCCATGAAACGAATCGCGGACGACGACTCCGCCACGCGCGGATGCGCAGCCGAAGGTTCCGCTGTGCGACGACGCGCGGACGACGGTTCCGCCGTGCGACGACGCGCGGACGACGGTTCCGCCGTGCTACGACGCGCAGACAGCGATTTTGCCGTGCGACGACGCGCGGGCGACGATTTCGCCTAGGTGCGTCGCGCGGACGACAATCTCGCAGTGCGACGACGCGCGAACGAATTCGACGCACGCTGCCGATAGCGTCGTCAGTCGCATCTGAAAGTAGTCAACGCAGAAATAACGGGGAATGACGGTTACGAATGTGACATTAACGAGGTTCAGGACGTGGTGCATCGAATGCAACTCAGAGGCTCGTAGGGATGAGCGAGCAGCGGGAAAGGAGGTGGTACAAGCAGCTCAGAGTCGTACCGTGTTAGCGGTAATCTTCAGGGAAGAGGCGACGAGTGGTCGGCGGACGGTCGAAGCAAAGATACCGACTGTATGGATAAGGAATCGCGGCGCCACGGCAGTACGTGTTTGGTTGCGTGTGTGCATCTGACGTGGGTGAGAGAGCAAGTGCAAATCGGGAAAGGAGCTCTGAGATGCGCGACAGCGAAACGTGACATCTGACATCTAGATCGACGATGAAATCTCGCGGCGAAGAAACGTCATTGGAAGACTAACCTTGTCGGACGAACTATCCGGATATCACTGCTTCATCGCCGTGTGGACAGCGCGAAGAAGACTCATCCCAGACGGAAACGCTACCGTGGAAAACGCAGCGAGCGAGCGGTCGCAAGGAAAGCCGTCAACGCGAGAACAATCGCCTCGAGAAAGACAGAAACCGTCGCCAGCGAGAACGAAACTAGCTCCAGAACTAGTCTAGAGCAAGAAGAAATCGTGGAAGTAACGTGTTGTGAGGCTCTGGTCAGTAACTGAGGAGATGAGACTCGAGAACTGAGGAGAGGAGAAAGTGCAGGCGGAGATGGCGTAAGAGCAGAAAGAACGAGGCGGAAACAGTCTACTGGGTTGGCCCTGAAATGGAATCGGCACATTAGATGGCTACGTTGAGCGCGGTTGAGATGGTTGCAACGTGGTTTGAAATTGTTGTGTGTCTGCCTTCTCCCAGTTTCCGCTGTGTGGTTACAGGTTTGGTTCAGCTCAGCCCATAGTTATGCCAACCAATCCCGAGGTGGGTTAGCGGCGGAGGAGGAAGCACCGCCCAGAAGATTTGCCCGCGAATTTCCGCGCGCGCGCATCATTTTCAACTAACGGCCAGGTGACGAAAAGAGTGAGCAACGAGCGAAACAGCACTTGCGACCTATTGGTTGTTTCGCTTGTGCGTACGAGGCAATCCTCTGGTGGGCCGATAGACTTTTGCGAAACTCGATGCCAAGAACGTCGAGCCTAACGGTTCCGGCAAGGATAGCAACAATATCCGTCAAATAGCGCGGGCTCGTGAATGTGCTCCCCCGAAAAGCCTGACACACCGCTGAGAAGGCGCAGATCGGGGAATTTGGCGGAGGGCGGGGCTGCTGCTCCAACGGGATGCCTACGGACGGCGCAATTTGGGGAGACTTGTGGAACAGCGTGACGTTTCTGATCCGACATCCGCAACATCATCGAATGAGCTCCATGATTGCGCTGATCATTATCTTGATCCTACGGACGAAATGAAACAAGCGCAGAACGCATCGGAACACCTATGCGCGTTATGACTTACGGATTGATCACAACACTTGTTACGGGTGCAATGAATCTAAGTAGCGAGAATTGCACTAAGGTGTCAAACGGGTACAAAGATGTGAGCGAAGGCATTAGCGAACATTTATACGCGAAACATGCAAACGGTAACGTGGTGCGTGCGAGCTAGCTAGTGCTATGCTGGCAACGAGGCTCGGGCTAGTCCCGAAGCGTAGGCCGACACGGCCGGGCCAGCAGTGCGAGGTTTGGCAAAACAGTGCGCGCGAAGTTGGCGAAGTCCCGTTAGCAGTAACGGGCGAACAACGGCTGTTGCAGTACGCGATGTAGTCGGGCTCCGTAAGGAATGCCGAGAAAATTCCTTACACTACCCCCCCCCCCCCCCCCCCCCCTCAAGAAGCCCCCTCCGCTACGCGAGTGCATGTATATCGCGGAATCCCCGGCTCCTCAGGTATACTTGCAGGGCAGGGTGGTTTTCAATGTTGGCCAGGGGCACCCAGCTATCTTCAGTTGGCGTGCGGTCCTTCCAGCGAACGAGGAATTCAATCCTCTTGATTCCCGTGGGATGGCGAATCCGATGGCTCAGGATTTTTTCAGGTTCGATGATCGGTTCTGATGCAGGGCGAGTCATGGATGGCGGGCGATGGCGAGGCAGTTGGCTTGTGGTCGGGATTGTATGGGCGAAGCAAGCTGACGTGGAACAAAAGGGCTGATGTACCAATCGGTCGATAATAGTAGGTGCGCGGTTACTGGCGTGATCATGTGGCTGATTTGGAATGGGCCACAGTAGCGCGGTCGAA